TAAGATTGTGATTTAAAATAATGTCAACACCACTGACGGTACTAGATTCGGTCTGATCAACAGGACATTCTTGGGAAGCATTGCCACCAATTAAAGAGTCATCAATTGATCCTTCTGTTCTGGAAATAACCTTGCAAAAGGAAACATGGGTAACCATGAACATATGGTTCAAAATTCCAAAATTCTACAAGTTTAATGCTGCACAACCCCAGATCACAGACAACCATATGGTCAGTTGTTGGTCTGACCTCTTAACAGGGAAAGTAGTTACAGCAGTTAAAACTAGCTCTCACTTGACTGGTGCAGGAAAATGCTCTAGAAAGCAAAGGAAGGAATAATCCGTTGCAACTGGAAGGATGAAGCTGGGTCTTAAGAAAGGCTAAACAGACTGAGTTCTTAATCCCCGAGTCTAGTAGAATGGGAGGTCAACTTTACTAAAGCAGACAGGATCCTGAGGGGACTCAAAGGCCTTGAGATTGGGAGGATACTTCCTGTCCTGAGGGTGCCACATTTTAAGACAGCAACACTAAGGAAAGTAAACTATATCTCAACTGGCAAATGTTGTTCCAGAATTCAGTGCAGGATGGGGTTCATTAACTTATTGTTGGAAGAATTTGTGATCAACAAGGAAGTTGGCAAATGGGGACAAGGAGAAGAGGTTGGGGGGACACCACAACCAGATAAGCAGGGACTCAGAATGGAGCAGCAGGCCGGAGGAGGGACCAAATGGCCTACTCTTGATCCCTTAATTTTTTTAAAAGTTCAATCATGGGATGTGAACACCACTGGCTAGAGTCACATTTATTGTCCAGCCCTAAACGCCCAGAGGGCAGTTAAGTGCCAACCATGTAGGTCAGACCACATAAGGACAGGTGTCCATCCGAAAGCTTGCGTTTTCAAATATGTCTGGTAGTCAGCTTTCCAAAAGCTAACTTCCTTAAGATTGGGATTTAAAATAATGTCAACATTGCTGATGGTACTAGATTCAGTCTGCTCAACAAAACATTCTTGGGAAGCATTGCCACCAATTAAAGAGTCATCAATTGATCTCTGTGTTCTGGAAGTAACCTTGCAAAAGAAACACAGGTAACTACGAACACATGGTACAAAGTTCTACAACGTTAATGCTGCATAACCTCAGGTCACACTGACAACCATATGGTTGGCCTTTGGCCCAACTAAGCAGCATTAGAGGGAAGAGTCCATTACTTGTAACCAGGAAACAAATCTACTGTGATTGAACATTTTGAAAGCTTTATAACACCTGGAAGTAGTGACTGAACTATCAAACAATAGAATGTCTGTAGGTGTAGATATTAGCTCAAAGAAAAATCTGAATATGTTCTAATGTGGGAAGATTGGGGTAACTTAATTCAAAAGAAAATAGGACCACTACTCAAAATAGTCAAAACAGGTGTTGTGATTTCTGACCTTGCCCACCCCAGTCCAACATGGGCACCTGCACATCATGGTTTGGTGATAACCATTAGACTTTCATTTCCCCATTGATAATGAATCTCAATTGTAGCACCTGCCGTGGCGAGATTCGAACACGAACCACACACCCCCACCTTCCCCCTCCCCGAGTATTAACCGCGGGGGTGGGGGAAGAGGTGGTCTCTGGATTAATAGCCTAACCGCAATACCATGACCAACTGCACTGGGGCGGGCGGGCGGGCAGAAAGGGAGCGAGTGCCTGTCCCGGACCTGGTGGCCACACCCTTTGCCCCGTCTCCATGGAGACCTCTGTTACGTCACCGCAACCCCCCCCCCAACCCGGCAGTGCGCGCGCCCCGAGGAGCTCGAGCCTCACCTTCCCCTCCACCTCGTATACGATGCCCCTGGCGCCTTCCTTGATCTTGTAGATGTCAGAGAACATCTCGTCGCCTGGTTAAAGGGGAGAGGAGGAGGGTGTGGGGGTAAAAAAAACACGAAAAATATTAAAGTGTGCCAGATTCATCCCTTCCCCTGCCTCCTCCGGAGGTGGGTGGAGGAGGGTGCTCCCCAACCCCACGCCCTCACCAGCTACGTCGCCATCTGACGCTGGCCCGGGCAGGACGCCAAGGCCTAGTCCGTTCAGGGCTTCCAGAACAATCGAGAGTTCGCCGACCAAGCTCTTTCCCCTCCCCCGCAACAAACACACGTACCGAAACCCTCACCGCAACACCCAACTACGAAACGGCTCCGCCTCACTCACCTTTAAGACGAGAGCGCGGGGAGCAAAGCACCGAGACGGAGGGGTCCCTTACCCGAGATGATGCACTTGTAAATCTTCATGTCGATATGGCGTCGGACGGCGACAGGCCAGCACCAAACAAACTGCAGCCCGTCAGAAGCGGAGAAGGGGAAAAAGGGCGAGTCGTTTGGCTCGCCGGCCTTATATAGACTGCGTCGCCTGTGACGTCAACGCCACCCTACGTAACAGCCACGCACACTCCCACTCCCCCCCAGCCCCCGCTCTACGTGACGTAAGAGGAGAGCATGCCCTGGTGACTGTCATAACACAGAAAGTCTGTCCTCACCGTAGGACTTGCAGTTACTGTATACAGTACCTAAAGAGCCTGATGAAGTACTTCTGTTAATATGGTCAAGTTTGTCCTGTGGGAAATGCAGGTAACCAATTTGCCCACAGCAAGATCCCACAAAGAGCCATAATTAAGAAAGCATACCCATGCCTGTATCTCTTTCTGTGCATCAAGGTTTCCTGACAATGGCCCCACTGGACTTGAAACACCAGCATTTGCTTCCTTTTCTCCCCACAGATCCTACCAAACTTCCCCAACACTTTGTTTTTTGTTTCAGATTTCCAGCATCCGCGGTTCTTGTTTTCTACTGGACTTTATAAGAGCTGGTGGGCTGCCACTTTGTAGCAAGTGTAGCTGACACGGGCAAACATGGGAATGTGCAGGGTGTGATAACATATCTGAACAAATTGGTTAGAAAAACAGTCAGAAGGTCTCCAGACTGGAAGAACCAGCTATGTTTCTATAATCCCTGCAGTAAAAGTTACCAAAGTTTGAGAAAGCCATTTAGTTTTCCCATCCTTAACCAGTTGCCTTTAAACCAGCAACTCAAATGTTTTATTGTTAGTGCACCAGTCACCCAATGCACTTGTGAAGAAGAATCTAGAAAGGAGGTTGGCAAACAAAGTTTTGGGAAGCAAAAGGAACATCTGATCAAATCATGTGGCCTGGTGCTAGTGAACTGTGTTTCCCCAGAATTTTTTTTTCCTCTACACCATTTTAGTTTTTGTTTTTCCTGTGCATTTTGGTAACTGTGTAGGGGCTTTTAAGGAGATTAGAGTTAACTCATACAGTTATGAGTTGTTGGTTTATAGTTTTGTTTATCTGTGGCTAGAATGTATTTATTTGTAAGGATCATTAGTTCTTGTTAAGTACCAAAACCTGCTTAGTCTATTCTGTTAACCCAATTCCATCAGATGGGGATTTTACATACTTTGATAAAATCATTAACCTCTGTGACCACCCGGGAGTAGGTGAGCTCAGGTATCAGTGCTCTTTTCCCAACACGTGTACAAATATTATCTTACTCAATCCACTAGCAGCTATTGTGTGCACTTTCAAGAGTTAGGGGCTACCCATGAACAGATGAAGAGGAAAAACTGAAAATGGGGCAGTAATTCTCAGAGGAGAAAGCAGAGATAAGAGAAAGGTTGATTCAAAAATTTCAAAGTAATGTATGGCAACTCAATCAAATAGTACTGATAATTGATAATCATGCAGGACCCCACCACCTTCCCATTTATCCCATACTACCACTATAGAAGCCAATTACTAAGGTAAAATTAAAACTGCATCATCCTTCAGGCATCTTGCCAAACCTACACCCATCTGCTATCCCTCTTAATCCCTCCCCAACTCAGGTGCTGCTTGCAAAAATGAAAGATGAAAGCTAGAACTTGCTACTCTATACTTGACATGGCTGACACAATTCTTAATTAGTGCCTCTTTCTTCCCTAACTAGATAGAAAAATAATTATTTTTGGGAACATGTGAATTGACTATTTTAGAGAAACTCAGCATTAGTTTATTGCATTGGAACATTTGAATTTAATCCATTTTTCTCTCAGGCTGCTCTTTGGGAAATAAAGCTGACTGGAACTTAAGCATCCACACAATTGCCTGAGGTTTCAGATAATTTCCTAAGGAACTGTGGCTCCAGACTGCATCATACTCACATTGTGCATCCACTTAAACAACACAATGTAGCCAGCAGGCTGAAGGCACTGAGATCGGAGCTTAGTCTTCCTATCCTCTGGATAATAACCTTTGTGGTTTAGAAATCAGATCGGGTTTTTGAGTATATTGTTCTATTTGATAAAGTGGGAAAACCTTGTCAAAAATTCTCCCAACCTCATTTACTGTAATTAATGAGACAGGGAAATCAGACAGTTAAAGCTGTTTTCAAATCATGAGCTTTGATGCCCAGTTCAAGAATTTGTGAGGTACTCTGCCAAATCTAAAGCGATGGGAACCCAAGTCCTAGACGGGGTATGGAGGCAACATGCACCTCAGTCTAAAATAAAAGCAGGTCTCTCATCCCATGTGAAGAGAACAGGCAGCTGAATGTTTTGGGTGTGGTACAATTAATCAGAAGTAGAAGTTCAGTAAAGCTACAAGGAAGTAAAGGGAAGTACTTGTCTGTTACATCAAAAGATCACCCCTCACAATCCAAGTCCAAGCAATCCATCTTCAGTCTGCAATGGTATTCTGAACAAGCTCAATTCAAGATTTAGGATGAGTTTATCTTACTCCTGCATTTATTCTTCAATCCCTCATTACCTCTTGTGTTCTCTCAAAGGTGGGATGAAATAACTCCACAAAGGCCTATATCCCATCACCAAGTCACCCATTATTTGTACATGCCACAGAACCAGCTCCTAGAGTAAGCACTGCTTGACACTCCTGTTTAAATGTGTCAGCCAGTGCACCCTGATTGGACCAGATTAACAGCCCCAATCAGCGAGCTCATATTCTGTGATGCCCAGCTGGCTCACCTCGTTCCAATCACTACTGGGAGATACGAGGGAAATCGAGTGTTGGGAGACAGGGGAGTGCAGGATGCTGAATGAGATAAAGGTAGCTGTCAGATGGAGAGACAAGGGTTAGTAGTTTGTTCTAAGTCTGAAACTTTGGATCTTTTTATTGTTAAAATTCTGGCCAATTATCTGCACCAAGGATGTTGGCCTGTCCTTGCTTAAAATGGGAACAACCCTTTTATGTTTTACTTTTTTGTTTTGATTTAAACTGACTGACATTTGGAGTCCTCTTCTTTCGGTATGTTTCTCACTCTTCATTTCATTAATTCACACCCTTTTTATCTATTAATTCCTTTACACTCATCTCTCTTTTTTTGCCTTCTTTACACAGATTGCCAGACCTGCTGAGTATCTCAGCATTTTCTGTTTTCATTTCAGGGTTCTAGTAGCCCCAGTATTTTTCTTTTGTATGAGTGGTTACATTGCTGCAACTTGTCTTTCAGGAATGCCCACCTTCAAGACAATCTGTTCCTTCCGATGGGATTTCCATCTGTCTTTTATTTTGTTCACCTTAGTTGCCTTCTGTTTTTCTTCTTGTGTCTGATCATGTAAAAAGACAAAGACTTGTATTCAAATAACATCTTTCACAACTATGAGAATTCCTAAAGCGTTTGATAGCCAAAGAAGTACTTTTGAAGTGTAGCTACTTTTGTAATGTAGGGAGCGAGACAATCAATGTGAAAACAGCAAGTTCACACAAGTAACAATGTCATGATGACCGAGTCTGTTCCTGTGATGTTGCTGGAAGGGTAAATATTGGCCATAAAATGTTGATAATTACCTTGCTCTTCCTTCAAATTAATGCCATCGGATATTTTACATGTGTCTGAGAAGCAGACAGGACAGTGGCCTAATGATTAACTGAACGCCTACATCTTCAACAATGCATTAGTCCCTCAGTACTGCAATAGAGTGCCTACTTCAATCTTTGTGCTCAAGTGCTATGCTGGGGCTTGTATTTATAAACTTTTGACTCAAAGGCTGGAGTCCGCCCAGAGAGTTACAGCTCACATATCTAACAATAGGCCCTCTTATCTGCTAAATGTCTTTCCTCAGTAATTGTCTCCAGCTTCAGTGTACTCCATGCAAAGTGTAACTGAAATTCCACACTTCATGTTTTGGATCCACGTTTTACAGATAGCTCCAAGATATTCAGCATTCATCCAGCCACTGCTCTTACCATGTCAGGAGACCCATGCTTAATGACATGCAGCATTGTGTGCATGCTGTTCTTCTCTTCTAAGGCATCAACTCACTCCAACTTAAAGCAGTTCCATTTCAGAATTGGACACATCCAGGGCTTTAACCAAAAACTCTTTTGCTTCTTTTCAGGCACCAACAATCAAAAGCTTCAACAGTTCACTGAAACTAATGTTGTTCCAGACTCCTCTTCCCCTTCACTTTCCTCTGTCCCAATTCTTTCTGCTAATCTCACACATCTCTATGTTCTTAGGCTCTGACCTTTCCCTTTCTGGCACTGATCAATCTTCATCAAAGACCTCAATATCATCCTGTTATATTTTCACCTTGCAGCATAATGTTGAGCTCTTCTTCCATCACCTTTCAGTGACCTAACTTCCATAACTCTCTGGGCTAAAGAATTCCAGACATTCACAACCCTCTGGGAGAAGAAATTCCTTTGCATCTCAGTTTTAAATGAGTGTCCCCTATATCCTCTTAGTTTGGAAACAGCTTCTCAACCCTGTCGAGCACCCTCAGAATGTTGTATGTTTCAACAAGATCACCCCTCATTCTTCTAAACTCTAATGAATAAAGGTCTAACCTGAAATAAAACAAAGAATTGCATATACTAGAAATCTGACCAGGTCAAACCTGTTTAGCCATCCTTGCTAAGTCAAGAATGCTGCTCCTCTGCCCTGGGGAAACGAAGCGTAGACTGGGTGACCACTTTGCAGAAGATCCACATTCCGCTCGCAAAAAAGACCCTAAGCTTCCAGTTGCCTGCCACTTTAACACACCACAATGATCCCTGGCCAACATCTTTGTCTGGCTTGTTGCAGTGTTCCAGCAAAACTCAGCACAAGCTGGAAGAACAACAACAACAGCAGCAAAAACAGAAGTTGCTGGAAAAGCTCAGCAGGTCTGGCAGCATCTGTGAAGAAAAAAAACAGCGTTATCGTTTCAGGTCCAGTGACCCTTCCTCACAACCCCTCCTCAGAAGAACAACACCTCATTTTCCACTTAGGGATCCTGCAGCCCTCTGGACTCAATATCGAGTTCAATAATTTTAAACTCTCCCATGTCCTAGTTAACACATAGCCTGCCATTACACATTACCTATTGATTCTCTAGCATCTGCAGTTCCAACTATCTCGGTAAAAAAGACTTCACTGTTTTTAACTTCAACCCCCAAGCGATAAAGACCAAAATTTTAATTGCTTTCTTAAATATTTACTGCACCAGTATGCTAACTTTTGTTTTGTTTCATGCACAAGAACACTCAGATCCCACTGTGCTTCATATTTTGGAGTCTCTGTTTTAATAATAGTTTGCCTTTTGATTCTTCCTGTAAAAGCACTTGCCTACGTTATACTTATTCTGCCAAATGTTTGTCTATTCATTATCTATATCCTTTTACAGATTCCTTATGTCTCCATCACAGCATGTCCTCCCACTTATTTTTGATTCATCAACCAATTTGCATATATTACTGCCCCCCTCCTGGAAGTCATAATTGTCAATAGTAAAGAATTGAGGCCAGAGGACTGACCCTCGTGGCACTCCATTGGTTTCATCTTTCCACCTGAAAAAGACCTATTAATCAGGCTGTCTTCTGAGGGTTAAGCAATCCTCAGTCCATTGCTAATACATTCCCTCAATACAATGAGTTTTATTAACCTATTTTTCTTATCAACCTGTTCAGAGATATTATTACCATGTGTTCTTACCTTGTGCAAATAACCTTTAATGTGGCACTATATCAAATCCAAATACACTACATCTACCGGTTCCCTTTTGCCAAGTCTGCTTGTTATATTCCCAAAGAACTCCAGCAAATTTGTCAAATGTGATTTCTCTTTCATGTTTGATTATACTAATACCAACGCTGCCCCCAGATTTGATCCTGATGCCCATATTCTAGGAGTTAATTCCATTGCTGCTCACAGCCTTTCTGCTCCCAGTGTCCATACTCCTGGCATTATACCTGGTGTCTGTATTCCCACTGTTGATCTCAAAGCTGCCCCAGTGTGTCTGCTCCTAGTGTTGAATCTGATGGTGTTCCAAGTGTTGATCCAGAACCTGCTCCCACTGTCTCTACTTTTTGGTATTGATCTGATACTACTCCTGGTGTCTGTGGTCCCAGTGTTGGGATCTGATGCTACTCCCAGTGTTGATCCTGATCTCTCTGCTCCTGGTGTTGGGACCCCTCCTCCCTGTTGTTCCTAGTATCTCTGATCTCAGTTATGGTGCTGATTCTGGCCTTTCTGATCTCGGTGTCTCTGCTCCTGGGGCCAATTTTACTAGTATTGATCCTCCTGTCTCCAATCCCAGATTTGATTCTAATCCCAGTCACTCTGGTCTTGGACTCTCTACTCCAGTCTCCCTCCTCCTGGGTTAATCCCAGTGTCTCTGTGATTCCGATGTTTGTAATAGTATCTCTGATTCTCATGCTGATTTCCGTGTCTCTAATAAAAACCGGAAGAACTGCGGATGCTGTAAATCAGGAACAGAAACAAAGTTGCTGGAAAAGCTCAGCAGGTCTAGCAGCATCTGTGAAGGAGAAAACAGAGTTAACGTTTCGGGGGGTGACCGTTCCTCAGAACCCGAAACATTAACTCTGTTTTCTCCTTCACAGATGCTGCCAGATCTGCTGAGCTTTTCCAGCAACTTTGTTTTTGTTCGGTGTCTCCAATCCTGGTGATGATCCCAGTATTAGTATTGATCCTGGACTCTCTCCTCCTGGTGTTAATCCCAGTGTAAATATTAGTCCCAATCTCGCTAACCGTGGGCTGTCCGCTATGGGGCTCACTCCTTCCAGTTTTGATCCCACTGTTGGTGTTGATCCAGGTCTCTCTGATCCCAATCTCTCAGCTCTCGGTTTTGACCCTGATCCGGTTTCTCTGATCCGGTGTTGATCCTGGTCACTCTGATCCGATCCCTGTGATCCTGGCGTTGATCGTAATCCCGGTCCCTGTGATCCCGGTATTGATCCTGACCCCGGTCCCTGTGATGCAGATTTTTCTGAAACTAGACTCTTTGAACTCTCGTTGATCCTCATCCCAGTCCCTGTGAT